GACGTACCCATACTCAGACTCACCCACACTCAGGCTCACCTAACCCAGACTCCGTCAGAAGCCAGTAGCGAAGAGAGCAGAGAGAGAGAGAGAGAGAGAGAGAGAGAGAGAGAGAGCGGGAGAGAGCGAGAGAGAGAGAGAGAGAGAGCGAGCGCGAGCGCGAGCGCGAGCGCGAGCGCGAGCGCGAGCGCGAGCGAGAGAGAGAGAGAGAGAGAGAGAGAGAGAGCGAGCGAGCGAGCGAGCGAGAGAGAGAGAGAGAGAGAGCGAGGAAGAGAGAGAGAGAGAGAGGAAGATAGAGAGAGAGAGAGAAGGAGAGAGAGAGAGAGAGAGAGAGCAAGAGAGAGAGAGAGAGGAAGCGAGAGAGAGGAGAGAGAGAGAGAGAGAGAGAGAGAGCGGAGAGAGAGAGAGAGAGAGGGGGAGTTGAGAGAGGAGACAGGCGAGAGAAAGAGAGAAGAGAGAAGAGAGAGAGAGAGAGAGAGAGAGAAGAGAGAGAGAGAGAGAGAGAGAGAGAGATAGAGATAGAGAGAGAGAGAGAGAGAGAGAGAGAGAGAGAGAGAGAGAGAGAGAGAGAGAGAGAGAGAGAGAGGGAGAGAGAGAGAGAGAGAGAGAGAGAGAGAGAGAGAGAGAGAAGAGAAGCGAAGAGAAGAGAAGAGAGAGATAGAGAGAGAGAGAGCGAGAGACGAGAGAGAGAGAGAGAGCGAGAGAGAGAGAGCAGAGAGAGAGAGAGAGCGGGAGAGAGCGAGGGAGAGCGAGAGAGAGCGAGAGAGAGCGAGTGAGAGCGAGAGAGAGAGAGAGAGAGAGAGCGAGAGAGAGCGACAGAGAGCGAGAGAGAGCAAGAGAGAGCGAGAGAGCGAAGAGAGAGAGAGAGAGAAGAGAGAGAGAGAGAGAGCGAGAGAGAGAGAGATAGAGAGAGAGAGAGAGAGAGAGAGAGAGAGAGAGAGAGATAGAGAAGAGAGAGAGAGAGAGAGAGAGAAGAGAAGAGAAGAGAAGAGAAGAGAAGAGAGAGAGCGAGAGAGAGAGAGAGGGAGAGAGAGAGAGAGAGAGAGCAGAGAGAGAGAGAGAGAGAGAGAGAGAGAGAGAGAGAGAGAGAGATAGAGGAGAGAGAGAGGAGAGAGAGAGAGAGGCAGAGCAGAGAGAGAGAGGCACAGAGAGAGAGGCAGAGAGAGAGGCAGAGAGAGAGAGAGAGAGAGGCAGAGAGAGAGAGAGGCAGGGAAAGAGAGGCAGAGACAGAGAGAGGGCAGAGAGAGAGAGAGAGAGAGAGACAGAGAGAGCAGAGAGAGAGGCAGCTCAGTCACACTTAAATCCAGATTCGTCCTCACCGAGTCCCACCACCAAGGGAGCGCCAGCAAGGAGATGCACATATGGGGATCCCCACGCAGTGAATAATTTTTTTTACAGCCGCAGGCGGAAGCGCCGGCGGCGGGCGGTCGCGGTCGGGCTGCGGCCGCGACTAGCGGCGGGCGCGCGCGAAGCCGCGGTCAGGCGGCAGGCAGCAGCGACCCAGGGCGTCTGAGCCAAGGCGTGCAATCCAGGGAGTCTGCAGGGCAGTCCCAGGACGGGTCATGCAACGGCGCATCCAGGGAGTCTGAACACAGGCACCGAGGAAGCCGAGCGCAGCCAAAATGGCGCGTAAAACGCTCCCAACAGTTCATAACGAACAAGTAGGAACGGTCCCGAAGACGTCTATCCAGGGAGTCTGACGGGTACCACAGACTGTCTGGCGACAAAGTCCAACGGGGAGACCTGACGACGGATCAGAACATCGCGACGTCAGTACACGCATCCAGGCTGCCCGGGGATACGCGAAGCGTCCAGAATTTCGAGGAGAACCCCGCTGTTGCGACGAGAGTTTCCAGGGCGAACAGCGGTATCGGTACCTTGTTCTCCTCTGAGTCATGGGCGTCCGTGGCGCCGTCCCCGCCAGCGGGATGCCGCGCCCGCAGCGCGCTCAGCAGGGCCTCCTGAGAGGCAACGGTAAGGGCGGGGGGGCCTGTCACAAGGGGGGGAAGCATCGACCCGGAATCGGCGATTCCTCGATGACAGATCGGCGATGGCCTGGCGATGGCAAATCCGCGCGTTCCTGGACGGGTCTGGGGCCGTCGGGCCCCCTGTCGCCTATGAATGGGCGGGGTGGGGGTCGATGCGCCCCCTCCTCCTCCTCCTCCTCCTCCTCCTCCTCCTCCTCCTCCTTCTCTCTCCTCCTCCTCCTCCGCCTCCTCCTCCTCATCCTCCTCCTCCTCCCCTCTCATCCCTCCCCTCCCCTCCCCCTCCCCCTCCTCCTCTCCTCCTCCTCTCCTCCTCCTCCTCCTCCTCCTCCTCTCCTCCTCACTCTCCTCCTCCTCAATCATCATCATCATCATCATCATCATCATCATCATCATCATCCCTCCCCCTCCTGAGCCTAAGACCCCCCCCCTGTCGCCGCCCCCGTGGGCTCCGAGTGCGCGAGCGCGCCGCCCCCAGAGAGCGGCGAGGCCAGCAGCGAGGCGTGGAGCGCCACCTCGGGCGGCGGGCGCCCGCCGGGAGCCGGGAGGCGCTTTTGTGCGCGAGGCGGGGGGGCAGGGGCCAGGCGGGGAGCCCGAGGGGGAGGAGGAGGAGGAGGAGGGAGGAGGAGGAGGAGGAGGAGGAGGAGGAGGAGGAGGAGGAGGAGGAGGAGGAGGAGGAGGAGGAGGAGGAGGAGGAGGAGGAGGAGGAGGAGGAGGAGGAGGAGGAGGGGAGGAGGAGGAGGAGGAGGAGGAGGAGGAGGAGGAGGAGGAGGAGGAGGAGGAGGGGGAGGGATGAGGAGGGGGAGGAGGAGGAGGAGGAGGAGGAGGAGGAGGAGGAGGAGGAGGAGGAGGAGGAGGAGGAGGGAGGAGGAACGAGGAGGAGGGAGTGGACCTCGGCTGCACGGCACACCCTCGGGCATTTCGAACCCATCTTGAAATTATTATACTTGCGTGGGTTTCGATGTGACGGGTTTCCGGGCATATTCTGGAGAACCGAATGAAGGCCCAAACACCTCAACCCTGACATCCTCTCGTTTTGCAAAAATCCGCCGGCCCCTTGTGGGGCCACCAGGCTGTAGGCCGGAGGTTCGCAGTTTCCTGTGCCAATTGCAGCTTCCAGTTTCCACTGTTACAGTTCTGCTTCTGGCTGCTTACTGTGCCTTGTTGAGTTCTTGCTGCTTACTGTTCCTTGTTGATGGACCGCGCGAGGGGGGGAGGCCCAAAACGAGCAGTTCTACCACGCACAAATCGTATTGTCTAAATTGCTAGGGTGGGTAAAAATTACATCCCTCACGCAGATCGGCGGATTTGCCACATGTCTAAAATTCGGTGGCACCCCTCACGCAGATCGGCGGGGTCAGGGTTCAAAAACAAACAGGTTTTGCCACATGTCTGGAATTCGGTGGCACCCCTCACGCAGATCGGCGGGGTCAGGGTGCAAAAACACATGGGATTTGCCACATTTCTGAAATTCGGTGGCACCCCTCACGCAGATCGGCGGGGTCTGGGCGCAAAAACACACTGGATTTGCTACATTTCTGAAATTCGGTGGCACCCCTCACGCAGATCGGCGGGGTCAGGGTGCAAAAACACATGGGATTTGCAAAATTCGGTGGCACCGCTCATGCAGATCGGCGAGGTCAGGGCGCAAAAAACACAAAGGATTTGCCAAAATTCGGTGACACCCCTCACGCAGATCCGCGGGGTCAGGGTGCAAAAACACGAAGGATTTGCCACATTTCTGAAATTCGGTGGCACCCCTCACGCAGATCGGCGGGGTCTGGGCGCAAAAACACACTGGATTTGCTACATTTCTGAAATTCGGTGGCACCCCTCACGCAGATCGGCGGGGTCAGGGTGCAAAAACACATGGGATTTGCAAAATTCGGTGGCACCGCTCATGCAGATCGGCGAGGTCAGGGCGCAAAAAACACAAAGGATTTGCCAAAATTCGGTGACACCCCTCACGCAGATCCGCGGGGTCAGGGTGCAAAAACACGAAGGATTTGCCACATTTCTGAAATTCGGTGGCACCCCTCACGCAGATCCGTAGGGTCAGGGTCCAAAAACAAAAAGGATTTGCAACATTCTTGAAATTCGGAAACGCCCCTGACGCAGATCGGCAGTGTCAGGGTCCAAAAACACAAAGGATTTGCCACATTTCTGAAATTCGGTGGCACCTCTCACGCAGATCGGCGGGGTCAGGGTGCAAAAACATACAGAATTTGCCGCATTTCTGAAATTCGGTGGCACCCCTCACGCAGATCGGCAGGGTCAGGGTCCAAAAACATTGAGATTTGTTACATTTCTGATATTCGGCGGCACCCCTCATGCAGATCCATAGGGTCAGGGTCCAAAAACAAACAGGTCCCGACTGCTTCACGGCGAAGCCAAAGCCTCATGGCGTCGCTCTTCCATGGCCCATGCTCTGAGAGAGGGGGCCGGCAGCAGGGGGCGAAGCCCTTACGGATAGAACGACTGGGGGTTTCTTGCAAATTGTCTGCCTCTGGGGGCCCTCGCGGGGACCCGGGGCCTTTGGAAAACTACCTGGGATGAAAAGCAGGTCCTGGGCAGGGGGTCCAGACCTCTGGAGAGCCAACTCTGCACTAAAACCACGACGTCGGATGCTTGGGCAGCCTTCACATCCCTCTCCCCGAATGGCTTGCCGGACCCAGCAGGCGCTCGCCTACCCCGCTTCCTCCTCTGAGCTCCGACAGGCTCAGCGGGTGGCCAAGGTGCGAATGCTGTTTGGGAAGTGCGCCTCCCCGCGAGGCCGCAACCGAGCACGGCAGCAAGCCCAAAACATCACTGCACAACCAACAGACGAAACACACACACAACACTGTTTGGCGTTGCGGCCACGCACGCAGCGCAGGCAGTCGAGCGGGAAAACACGCGCGTCTGGGCTCGCTCACACGGCGTGGGGACCGGGGATGCACCCATAGGGGATCCACCAGGTCACTCGACACAAACAAACACACAGCCACATACACACACACACTCACACACACGCACGCACGCACGCACGCACGCACGCACGCACGCACACACACACACACACACACACACACACACACACACACACACACACACACACACACACACACACACACACACACACACGGTGGCTGATACCTAGGCAAAACACGCACGCACGCACACTTTTTTGGCATCGCGGCCCTGCGCGCAGCGACAGGGCGTAGGATGTCGGAAAATAGCAGATCGCGCGCGCTTGCGCCTAGGCCCGCCTGAGCACTCAGAGACCACTTAGGGACGCACGCACACACGCGCACATACACACACACACACACACACACACTCACACACACACACACACGCACATACACACGTCGAGGCGGAACACACACACACACACACACACACTCGTCCTCCAACGACTCTGGCGCGGGGGGAACGGCGGCGCAGGTCCTGAACTTCCGACTGGACTGGATCAGAAATGCTGCGCCTGGACGGCGCACCGGGCGGAGGGCAAACTCTGCAGCCGATGCCGCGGAGAAACTTGCAGCATCACTGATCACGCGCGACGGGCGTATACCCATGCCCTCGCCCTGCGCTCTCCGGACACAGTGGATCCCGCGGATGCGTTCCGCGCAGGGCTTCTGAGCAACGCCGCGCTGTAACCACAGGGTCGCGGCCGAGGATTCCAGACCGCGATGCCGTGGACCCGGGGCACTCCCCCAGACATCCTCCGATAGGACCCTTGCTCAGTCCGCGGCCCCGGACCTCCCGACCCCCTCCCTGGGGGGCAGGCCTGCCCCCCGGATTGCTGCTGGCCCAGGGCCCGCAAGCGGCCCCCCCCGAGATCGCAGCGGGAGGAAGACGCTGCGAGTGACGACCAGGGCGAGGTGAGGCACCGGCAGCTGGAAAGTGGGTCCCCGGACCCCCCCCCCCTGGGGTCCACACGCCCCGGTTCTCCGAGCGGCGCCCCGCCGTGGCGGCAAGGCCCCCCCCCCCCCCGAAGGCCAACTGCAGCTGCCTCCGGCTTGCGAACCGAAATGCTGCTCTCACCTCTCGTTGTCTCCGCTCGCGCGTCCCCGGAAGACCGCCACGGGTCTGGTTCGGAGGCCCGAGACGGTGCGGTGACGGACCGCGCGGTGACCTCGACATCCCCCGAGACCTCACCGCAGAGCTCCGTCAGCGCACGGCGCTGGGACCTCGGAGGCCCCAGCCGCCCGAAGCGTCCTCGGAGAAGGACCCGAGCCCCAATGACCGTGCGGCGACCCCGCATCCCCACCGACGCACCACACGGCGTGGTCGCCAGGCCCCGTTCGGGGGCCCTCGGATCTCTGCGCTGCCCTGCCTGCCGCGCGCCCCCCCGCGCACTGCCGGGGGGGGGGGGGGGGCGCAGTGCGGGAAAGCGGAGCCTCGAGGCGAGCGTCGGCGAACGGCGCCCCTGGGAGCGCGCCTGACCCCCTGCCGCTGGGCGGGCAGACTCGGGAGCGGCCAAGAGGGGGGCGTCCAAGAGGGGGGGGTGCAAATCATGACCGGCGGCATGTGCGCGGCCCGGGGGGGGGGGCAGGGACGTAGTGAAATAAGAAGCGGCGGCATGAAATCTGGGGAAATGTCATGGCCCCCGCCATGATATCCACGCCCCCTGGTCATCACCCCCCTCTTTGCCGACCCCGACAGACGGTGGCCCCGGCCCCGCTCCGGGCCCCCCCACGGGTTGACTGCCTGCCGTCTGCGGCCGCTGCGCGGCACCCGGCGCTGCCTGCTGCCGGCCGCGACCACGGGAACCCGCTGTTAGATTCTTCGCGGCAGCGTCGGGCGTTGGGTCGGGCCTGTCCTCCTGCAGGCGGCTGTTGGACCAAGAATGAAACATACGCATCATGCGAAACGAATGCCCCCAAATAGTGAAAAATCGGCCCCAGAGTATGTTTTGACCATTTGAAACAATTCCTCCTGTAGAGGAGCATGCCAGACTTACGGCAGCGCTCGTGGCCGGTCCCAGCTCCTCAGTCCCCCACGCCCTGGTCACATCGCGATTCGTGGTGGCGCCGCCTGGTTGCATTTTCGGGGGACCTCGGCTGTCCCATCGCGCCAGCCATCCGTGACGCATCCATGTCGACTCCATCCCGAACGCGTCGAATCCGTGTCAAGTCCACGTCGAACAGGCGTCGAACCGACGTCGGAGTACGAGAAATGCCTGCCATCTGCAGTGCAGGAGAAGGCCCCCCGAGGCTGCACACTAAGGATGGAGAGCCCCTCCCGAAGACGGCGCTGGTGCACCTCGCGACGTGAGTGGCCCACTCCCCCCTCCCCCCACGCCATGCTATGTCAGGCTACGCTTAGGTCGGGTCTGTTCCCCTACAGGGGGATTTGGGACGAAAAATAAAAATTATCCCAGTGCGACCCTACCTAGGAGTTGGAGCCCCTAGGAAAGCAGCATTAGTAGTAATAGTAACGCTAAGCTAAAGCTAAGCTAGAGCTAAGCTGAAGCTAAGCTAAAGCTAAGCTAAAGCTAAGCTAAAGCTAAGCTAAAGCTAAGCTAAAG